TTTTTTCTGGGCTGACCTAGAGTCCCTCTGTTCAGGATATGTCCTGATTGAGGCTATGCAATTGCCTTCATTCAGGTGGTGTTCCCTTAGCTCAGTCAGACTGACGAGAGCGTGTCCACTTCCCATCGGAATACCCTGCAACTCATGCTCCACTTGCTGTATTTTCCAATGATAAAGCCAGTTGTAGTGCTGTTTGAAGCCCAGTTGGGCTTCAGCTAGTAGGTGCTTTTGTATAGTTATATCTTACCTGAAGAAAATGAGGAGTTGAAAGAGAAGTTGTTGAGGGTGAGGACAAGCTCGGCCAAGCAGAGGAAGGTGGTGGTGGAGGGTGGGGATTGTTCAGGTCTTTGCTCCAGGAAGAAGCGGAGAGCCCCAAGACCCTCCTGGTGGCAAATGGACATGTAAAGGGATTGCACATCCATGGTAAAGAGGAGGTGGCTGCCACCCTGCCCTCACTTTCACCTGGTCTATCTTGGACTCCTCCCTTCCCTTCCTCAACATTTCCGTTTCCATTTCTGGGGACAGACTGGCCACTAATATCCATTACAAACCCACTGACTCCCACAGCTACCTGGACTATACATCCTCACACCCAACTTCCTGTAAAGACTCCATCCCATTCTCTTAGTCCCTCCGTTTCCGTCGCATATGTTCAGATGAGGCCAACTTCGACAAGGGAGCCTCCAAAATGTCCACCGTCTTGCTCAACCGAGGATTCCCCAACTCCGTTGTCGACAGGGTCCTCAACCAGGTCCGACCCATCTCCTGCACTTCCGCCCTCACCCCTTTTCCCTCCCGCAACAGTGATAGGGTTCCCCTTATCCTCACATACCATCCTACCAGCATCCACATCCAGAAGATCATCAGACACCATTTCGGCCACCCCCAGCAAGATGCCACCACCAGACACATATTCCCCTCCCTTCCCTTGTCCGCCTTCAGTGGGGACCGTTCCCTCGGGACACCCTGGTCCACACTTCCTTCACCCCCAACACCTCCCCACAGCCCTACGGCACCTCCCCCTGTAACTGGTGACGGTGCAACACCTGCCCATTTACCTCCTCCCTCCCCACTATCCAAGGGCCCAAACATACCTTCCAGGTGAAGCAACACTTCACCTGCACTTCCAAGAATCTGGTCTACTGCATTTGCTGCTCACAATGTGGTCTCCTCTACATTGGGGAAACAAAGCGTAGACTTGGCAACCGCTTCACAGAACATCTACGTTCTGCTCGCAAAAAAGACCCTGAACTACTTGTTGCCTGCCACTTCAACACACCACCCTGCTCCCTGGCCAATATCTGTCTCTGACTTGCTGCAGTGTTCCAATGAAGCCCAACGCAAGCTGGAGAAACAACACCTCACGTTCCGCTTGGGGACCCTACAGCCCTCAATATTGAGTTCATTAATTTTAGGGCCTAAACTCTTCCATATCCCAGCCCCCCAACCCACACACCAGGCCTTGTTACCACATAGCCTGCCATTTACACACCCTCTGTTGTTAGTCATTAACACTTCCCATTAACAACTATTCATCCTCCCAGCCTGATCGTTAGCAACTCCTTTGTCTGTCCAACTGTCTTTCTGTCTCTTTGGGCTTTATCCTATCATTTACTCCCTACCCCACCCACCTCCCTATGTTCTGCACAGAAACTGATGTTCTGGTGACCCTTCCCCAGCCACCATCAGTTCTGAGGAAGGGTCACCGGACCCGAAACGTTAACTGTTTTCTCCTTCACAGATGCTGCCAGACCTGCTGAGCTTTTCCAGCAACTTTGTTTTTGTTCCTGATTCCCAGCATCTGCAGTTCTTTTGCTTTTCATTTAGGTCCACAAGTTAATCAGGAGAATTACTCATTGCTTTATATCTGACCCAATGCTATTTGCCTAGGAAAAAAATAACACATTCTTTCCATACATATACAGGACCCAGTCTTCAACAGCAAGATCGAACAGGTCAGGCTTTCCAAATAATGACATGATGCCAGAAATACTTATCCCAACTCGAAGACGACCGTTGTGAATGAAATTCTTCAGGAGCGTTCTTTTCTCTCAACACCACGGAAATAATTCCACAGTGGCAGGTATCCCATCACCAAGTCACCTTTTATTTGCACATTTAGAGTCCTTGACAGTGATCCAGCTCCCAGAATGAACAGAATATCTGATGCTCCTGTTCTTATCTATCAGCCAGGGTTCATTGATTGGACAAGATTAACAGTCCAAATCAGGGAACTCAGACTCTACGTTGTCTACCTAACTAAGCTTGCTACAATCACTACAAATGCTGACAAATCTACTAGAATTATTTGAGCAGGTAACAAATAGAATAGATATAGGGGAAGCAGTGGATATAATATATTTTGATTTACAGAAACAATTGATAAGTTACCACATATTCAGCAACTTAAGATAACAGCCTATGGTATTGGAGATTGAATTTTCAGCACTGTGTGCTTTAGTTTTCATTAAATGCTGTCTTTGATCACCTTCGTTGACCATGGTTGGTTCATCCTTCTCTGACTTCAATAGGTTTTTGCTGAGTATTAGGTAATATCTGCTTGAATGTCTGCTATTGTTCATCTACTGACTTTCCCCTTAGTTATTTTCAGTCTGCTTGAGACAACTTTTTCTTCATGCCTCTGAGATTGCTTTTATTTTAGTTTAAGGACTGCTCTCCCTCAGGCTAAATTTAGTCTACTGTGATTGTGTAGTTAAGGATCCTCTGGGGAGTAGCAATCTCTTGTCAGTCTTACTTCATTGCACATTGCTGAAACTGGAGTTGCCTGCTCCGGAGTGGGTTCTTCAGCACACTGCTCTAGGAGGCAATCATTCTGAAAATCTGTTTTCCCACACCACCCTTGTGGATTGGTTTGTCTGATCAATGTGTGAACTAAAGTCACCCATGAAAATTGTTGTGCCTGTCTTGTATACCTCCATTGTTTCCTAGTTTGTATTTTGTCGTATAGTGGAGTGGCTCTTCAAGTGCCTGTGGATGCTTCTCATCCATAATTTCTCATAGCACAAACTAGATCCTTCAGCCCACCATGTCTGCGCCATCCTGTCTACACCCCATTTTCCACCATTTGGCCCATAGGCTTAAATGTTATGACATTACAAGTGCTCAGTCTTGAAAATTTTAAGGACTGAGATTTTCCACTTCTACTACCCTCCCAGGCAATGCATTCCTGATTCCAAACATCCTCTCAGGAAAAAGCTCTTTCCTCAAATTCCCTTTTAAAAACTTCATGCCCTATACCTTAAAATTAAGGCTCCTCATTATTAACCTTTCAACCAAGGGGAACAGCGGCTTCCTATCCACCCTCTATGGGCTCCTTATAATCATACACACCTCAATCAGGTCCTTCCTCTGCTTTCTGTGCCGTAAAGAAAAAAAAACTTGAGCTTATCCAGTCTTTCTTCATAGCTAAAATGCTCCAACTCAGGCAACATCCTGGTGAATCTCCTCCAGTGCAATCACATCCTTCCTATAGTATGGTGAGCAGAACTATACACCAGTTGTGGCCTGACCAAAGTTTTGTACTCCTTCAACATAATCTCCCTGCTCTTATCATCTATCCCACAACTGATAAAGGCAAGTGTCCCATATATGCCAAGAATGGCGTGATCCTCAGTTCTTCCCAGGGTCCTAACATTCATCATGTATTCCCTTGCCTTGTTTGTCCTACCCAGGTGCATCACCTCACACGTACTGTCCTTGAGGCTCTTTATCCAAATGCAATGCAGCACCTGGAAAGAGATACATATAAATAAATGAAAGTGACCCAATAGCCAGAACAGAGACATAGCTGCAGGGTGACCAAGACTGGAAATTCAAAACTCATGGTAATTCAGTTTTAGTTTAAAGCCCTATTGGCAACCCTAGTTCTAAGAGTCACTGGGATACCATTTCTAGCATGGTTCAAATGAAGCCCAACCCAACAAAACAGTTCTCAGTGCCCCATCAATTGGAACCCAATTTTCCCCACACCAATTTGAGTCATGTATTTACCTCAAATCTTATTTACCCTACACCAGCTTGCGTGTGGCTGAGGTAGTAATCTGAAAATTACCACCTTGTGGATCTGCTTTTTAATTTAGCCCCAAGCTATTCACAATCCATCAGAAGAACTTCTTTCCTAATCCTACTTACAGCTTTGATACCTACATGGACCACAACAACTGAATCTTCCCCTCCCACTCCATGTTCCCCTCCAGCCCAGGAAAGATGTCCTGAACTTTGTTGCAGGCAACAGCGTTTATTCCCCAATACTATCCCCTATTTCTCCTACATCTCTCTTTTCGAGGAGCAGAGAGCTAACATTTGCGTAGACCGGTTTAATGTTTCTAGAATATCTTGATGTATTTTCCAGCTAATTACTTAGGAGTTAAGTGCTTCTTAGGACATCAAAACAAGGTTCCACAAATATAAAGTTAATGAATAATTGGTAGCAGGAGGACTGTTTGTCAAGATTGAGAGATTGTCCAAATTAGCAAGTAGCCAGGGCTTAGTTTAACATCCCAAGAGAAGAAAAACACATCTAGTTTTGCAAAACCAATTATTTTGCTGCAATAATCAACTATTATGGACCAGTCCAGACCCCATCAAAATATTTTAAAGGTAGCCTAGACCCTAACTTTTTCTTATTTTTAAAAAGGTAAATGTGAAGTGGGCATTCCAAGTGTGATGCAACTGGTCAAACCACTCAGCATTAAGCAAAACACACAATTTTTTAATTGCTATAGTTAAAACATGATACGGAGATGCCGGTGTTGGAGTGGGGTGGTCAAGGTCAGAAATCACAACACCAGGTCGTCGGAGGGAGGCTTCGAAAGCTTGTGTTTCCAAACTTGTTGGACTATAACTCGGTGGTGATGTGTGATTTCTGACATAAAACACAAACAAAAGAAAGTAGAATTGGAATACTTAACTAATTAACTATTCCAATATAGTAATATCTTATAAAAAGACCCCTTGGCAAAAAAAAAAGGTAAATTCAAACCCAAATTCTTACAGGCAGGAGGGAATAACATCCAGAGAGATTTCAGAGAAAGTCAGTTTGGAATTATTTACTGAAGCTCACAACCCTTCTGAACACAAAACATCTGGTGACAGGTGCAGCTTAAAAATAACTAGAAAGCCTGAACCAGGAGAACTGGCCACTTCCCTTCCATTATACAACTGTTTTTAAAAAAAAAAACTTCAAGGCCTCCTCTGATTGTTGACCGAGGCAGTTTCTCATAGCCGTTTCGATTCCTCTGTCTTTACAACCTCTCTTCAAAAGAAAAATACCCAGGACAAAATAACCCTTTTACAGTGATAGCATTGTCACATGACCAAGATTATGCACTTGAGCTCACTGTCTCCGTCCAGTTTTCTGATTTGGAGATGGCAATAAAACCAAGATATTGTCAAAGGTTCACCACAATCTGAAGCAGATAGATGTTGCATATTACTTATCTATTCTCCTACAATTTCCTCCTTCCTTCTCTCAGAACCGGTGATCTATGCTGAGGCGTGAGTCTGCAGCTGTCAGTAATCTTGTAATGAGTGACCCTACTATCAGCAAATTCATCAAGTACAAACATTATGGCCAATCCAATTCTGTTTTTTTAGAACCCTCAATCAACACAATCAATCACATGGTCATTATAATTGTGGAATTTTGCTGCACAAAAGTGGTTACCACTTTTCCCACATAACAACAGTGATTATTCCAAATCAGCACTCTATTGGTTGCAAATAAGGCAGACAAGGAAAAATTCTTCCTACAAGCTAGTGGTACAAGGACAAGGGGGCACAGATTAAAGATTTTGAACAAGAGATGCAGGTAAAATTAGAGGAGGAACTTTTTCACTCAATGAGTAGTATTGACCAGAAGCACCCATGCTAAAAGTAGAAACAATCAATGATTTCAAAAGAAAGTTGGACAGTCACTTATAGGAAATAAACTTGCAGAGATGCAGGTGTTGAGCAGGGGAATGGGACTGACCAGATTGCTCTGCAGGGAGCCAGACTGAACTAGATCTGCAGAAAGATCTCGTGATACTCTAAAGTGCTTTGTGACATCTGGAAGGTGCTCTGTGAACATGTCTTTATTTTCCACAAGGTGTCACTGGAGAGCAACTTAGTAAATTCTGGTTGTACTGCTAATCACTGAGGTTCATCTGAGGCTGTCTCTAAACCCCAAGAACATGTTTAATTTTCCATACTTAATTCTCTATTTTCCATAGAAATATTTGTAGTAGTGTTCCCACTTACCCTGCAAAGAGATAAAGTCATATCTATCCACTCTACAAATCAACTTCATTACACTTCTGCCATAGAGTCATAGAGATGTACAGCACGGAAACAGACCGTTTGGTCCAACTCATCCACGTCAATCAGATATCCTAAATTAATCTAGTTCCATTTGCCAGCATTTGGCCCGTATCCCTCTAAACCATTCCTATTCATATACTCACCCAGATGCCTTTTAATTGTTGTAATTGTATCAGCCTCCACTACTTCCTCTGGCAGCTCTTTCCATACATGCATCATCCTCTGCATGAAAAAGTTGTCCCTTAGGTCCCTTTTAAATTTTTACCCCTCTCACCTTAAACCTATGCCTTCTAGTTTTGGACTCCCCTACCCTGGGGAAAAGACCTTGACTATTCACCCTATCCATGTCCTTCATGATTTTATAAACTTCTTTAACGTCATCCCACAGTCTCCGATGCTCCAGGGAAAATAGCCCAGGCCTACTCAGCCTCTCCTTATAGCTCAAACCTCCCAGCCCTGGCAACATCCTTGTAAATCTTTTCTGCACCCTTTCAAGTTTTACAACATTTTTCCTCTTGCAGGGAGACCAGAATTGAATGCAGTATTCCAAAGGTAGCCTAACCAATGTCCTGTACAGTCGCAAACAACCTCCCAACTCCTATACTCAATGCAGTGACCAATAAAAGCAAGCATACCAAATGCTTTCTTCACTACCCTGTCTACCTGTGACTCCACCTTCAAGCTAACGCCTCTCTAATTGTCCCCTTCCTATTCTCTGACCACAACCAGCCCCTTATGTTCACAAATATTTTAAATTGTTCC